TAATAGAGAGAGAAAAGGAGGGAAGAAGGGACACAGAGATAGGGAGAGGGAGATGGAGAGGAAGGAGGGAAGGGGCCATTAGGGAGCTAGAGGAATGGAAAGAGAGACCGAGAGACAGACAGAGAGAGAGAGTAAGTGAGGAGAAGAGAGAGAGAGAGAGAGAGAGAGAGAGAGAGAGAGAGAGAGAGAGAGAGAGAGAGAGAGAGAGAGAGAGAGAGAGAGAGAGAGAGAGAGAGAGAGAGAGAGAGAGAGAGAGAGAGAGAGAGAGAGAGAGAGAGAGAGAGAATGAGAGGGAGAGAGAGGGAGGGAGGGAAGGAGTGAACACGGATATGTCTCGTTCAGTTTCAGATTTCAAGTTAGTAGCGGGGTAGAAATAAGAGCAACAGTGGCTGGCGGTTACTGCAGTGTTGGAAGTAGCAGTAGTAAAAGAAATAGTAGTAGTTGTAGTGACTGTTATTATTACTGCTGTTGATGTTACAATTAAACAAAAAAACAGTATTGTATAATTATTAATCACAGTAGTTCGGATACTCCTACAAATACAAGTACTAGCAAGTCCAATAGCTATGCTTTGAATACCCTGAGCGTGCTTTGAAGTACATGACGTAAATAATCAGTATACATGGACGCATAAAAAACATTTTCCCCAGCGAACGAGGCCCTGTTTGAACTGTAATCACAAAGGGAAAGCCGAGGAACCGCAAGTGAGTCAGAAAGATAAACGAAATCAAAAGTTCCCGCTTTGAGGAAAATTGTTATATATACTTTAAATTCTTCTGCCTTGGTGTAGGTCTGTGCGTATGTCTGCAGTTCAATAACGAGGAAGAAAGAAAATGAATCGCCGAGCGTACTATTTGTGTTATTTATGCATAGGTGTAGTTATCTACATATATCTGTAGTTCAGTAACGTAGAAGAAAAGAAGGAATCATTGAACATATAATTCATTTGGAAGAAAATAACGCATCATTTACTTGAATGAAACCAAAATATCAAGCACAAAACGGCATTTTCTGCAACTTGGATTGCAGATGATTACAGGCCATCCCGAAGTCGAAGAAGTCATGGAACAAGATGTCTGGAGGTGTTGAGAGGGATTAGGATGACATACAGAGGGCGGGGTTGACAGGGCCGGGAAGCAGGGAAATCGTGTCAAGGGAGTCTGTCAGCGTGCAGCGTGAAGGGAGGGGGAGACGCGGTGACTGGTGAGGAAATTGGTGTTTTCTCCTAATGTCCGGTTATGTGGATATATTTCTCTCTTTCTCTCTGTCGGTCCCTTTCACCTTTCTTTCCTCTCGCTCTCTTTCTTTCGTCTTCTCATTCTTTCTCTTTTCTCTTCTTCTGTGTGTGTGTGTGTGTGTATGTGTTTGTGTGTGTGTGTGTGTGTGTGTGTGTGTGTTTGTTTGTGTGTGTGTGTGTGTGTGTGTGTGTGTGTGTGTGTGTGTATGTGTATGTGTTTGTGTGTGTGTGTGTGTGTGTGTGCATGTGTGTGTGTGTGTGTGTGTGTGTGTGTGTGTGTGTGTGTGTGTGTGTGTGTGTGTGTGTGTGTGTGTGTGTGTGTGTGTGTGTGTGTGTGTGTTAGCGACGTTTTGTTCCTCTTCAGACGTCGCCCACCACAGGATCGGATGTTGCATCACAGGTCTTGTTACGTGGGTCGTATTGTTACAGGGATACAGTTGAATTCGGAGCCAGAGGGAGTGTCTCGTATGATGCCTTACCCATCATTGAATGTTTAACGGCTATTGTGGATGCCCAACGAAGATTTTCGACTTTAAAAAAGGATAGATGAATTGGTTGTATATCTAGGATGAAACTGATATCATTTTTAATATTAACATTACCTTCTATGATATTTGATATCAGATCGTGATCTCCAGCGTAGGCATTAACGGGGTAAAATGTTAACAGTCAAAGTTTATAGCTTTATATTACCAGGCCAAGATTTCAGAACTTTTGATAACATAAACACCAGTCATCACCCTCCAAAATATTCCCTTGCTTGAAGTTTCAGGGGAATGTACAATGTTCTTGTGCACATATATAATATGATCTGTCCTACAGATAGCACTGGTGTAGTTTCTGTTGCAGTCGAGTTGTTCTTGGTACTGATGAACTGTTACTAAGACAAGTTTTAGAGTGTCTAGCAAGTTCACAATGTCCGCAATGTGTGTCCCTCCGCCCAGAATTGATGCCTAAGAGTGCTCATAGTTTAATTCGACGTGCAGTACCTAGCGAACGTAAAGCAATAAAGTGTCGTGTATGGTGAAAGAAAATTACATTAAAATAGCGTATGCCCCGAGGAACGTGACAGCGAAAATATACGTCGACACAATGGAAAAGCAAAAGCAAACGGTAGCCTGGGTTTTATCACATATTCTCGTTTCATTACCCCGACGCTCCTGTCAAATAACCCTTTTTTTCGGTTTCTTTTTATATCTAAGTGAAAAAAAGGCTACAGGAAGGGGGTAAAAGTCGCGCCCGTCCCCCTGTCCCCGCTGAAACGTATAATTCAGAATGTAGGCGGCGACGCTTGTCATGGGCGGTGTGGAAATTTCAGGAGCTGTGTTGTATGATGCTCGGTGTCCCCTTTCTTAACAGGAAAAAAAAGTTGCC